TTACTAATAGGGAAATAGCAATTTCATAGCAATGTAAATGAAATCTGACGTTGGTCAGTTTGTCAATGTGATGTCAACAGAACGATGAATGATTCAGTAGAAACTCAACCAGAACATTCATATTGTTCCACTTTGCCTTTGCAAAACTATCTTTGTTCATGTCTGCGTTTCAGTGTTGCTGAGCAACGTGATGACTTATCTGAACATGTTTGGACTCCCTGCAAGAATCCTATCCTACCTGCTCCTGCCCCTCATGCTGTCTTATTACGCTGTGCTGCAGAACAGGGACAGGTAATGAACACACTGAACACAGACAGGCCGGCAGAAACTCCGAAGCTCTGAAACTCTCTTTGTTTTTGTTTGATAAACAAAGAAGAAAGAAAACAGCTCGATCGTTTCACTAATGACCATAAATTTCTGAGAGGATGTGATCATCATGAGGTTGCTGGATAATTCCAGGAAACGGCTGCTGGTGACGGAGTTCTGTAATTCCTACTTTTGTGCAGAGACGTAATGTGGTAATGTCTCTTAGACCTTTTAGAATTACTGATAGCAGTGCTTTCCATTGTTTATCATTATGCAACACTACATTAGCTGCAACCTGCAGCTTTTTACTTAGCTTCTTAATTTTTGTTTTTAGAATGACTGATCTCAGCTCAACGTTCTGCAAGAAAATAAAGAAGTCCCAGATTGTCAGACTATTGCCTTAAACAGAGGCAGCATCTCTGCAACACATCCTAATCATCCCAATACAGCACGATGACCAGCAGCTACACCTCAGACTGTTAAAAATTAAAGTTCATGAGAGTACAGTTAGAGAAGATTGACCAAGGAGGAGTTTTTTTCTAATAGTTGAGAAGGCCTCTTCTCTCTAAAAAGAAGATTGCAGCATGCCTTAAGTTTACAAAGCTGCATCTGGAACAATGTACTGTGGAGAGCCAAGATCAACGTGGGGATGTTGGATTTAATGCCCTGCGCCATATTTAGAGAAAACCAAACATAGCATATCGACACAAACACCCCATACAAACTGGTTCTGCCAGAACTTTCCTTCCCACTGTCTCCAGTGTAGAGCGCCTTGAGACAATTATTGGTGTTTTTTGGCACATATATATAGATCAACTTTAATTGAATTGAAGAAATCTTGTAAAGAAAATGGGCCTAAATCCCAACACAGTGATGTGAAAGACTGATTAGTCATACACAAAAAGCTCTTGCTGTTAAAGGTGTGCTTAGTTTTCTTCGTTTTTTGCTAAACCAATAATTACACATTGTAATGTGTCATGTTTTATTGTTCATCTGAAGCTGTATTTATCTCATTTTAAATTCTGGTGAGGACCAGACGATATTTCCTAATATGTAAAACAATTAAAGACAGCGTATTTTCTTTTTCACATTACTGTACTTGTAGTTTGTTATTTACTTTTTATGCTTCAGTAACATCTGTTATGCAGATGCAATCACTGTGACCTCTCTATTTCCACCAGGCTGGAGTTGCTGTTCAAGCAGATGCCTGAGCTTCTTCTGTTGACTTGGCACACCATCAGAGTTTTCACCTTTTTCTTTTTCGAAGGAGCTGTCTCTACCATCAAGAAGAATATAAATGAAAAGTAAGATGGCATCTCGTATCTTAAATTATTACACTGTTTATTGCGTACAGGATTTATATAGAATTATTTTACTTGAAATCTTAACCGTTTTCAATCTCAAGTATTTCAGCCAAACTCAACTGAACTTGAATATCTGTTTTAGCATCATGCCGGTCGCCCGGGCGCTGTGGCAGAAAGACCAGGTGCAGTCTGAGGCATCACAAGGCCGGAGGCAGCCATCGTCTTTCAACGAGTTTTCTTCACGTTCAGAGAATGCCAGTGAAAAATCATCTCCGGTTTACAAGAAACCAAAACAACAGTCTTTGTGAAATACTGCTGTAAACAAGTGAAGTGCAGATTTCCATTTAACATGTGAGGGTTGAGTTTACAGGCTTGTAATTTACGAAAGCTGAGTACAGTATCTGTATCTATGTTTTCATACTTGTGAAATTGTGTTGCTGAGGCAGTGGAGTGCAGACCTTCACAGTTGGCATAGTTTTGTCATTATTGGTTCTTTAACACTCAATGTTGTGCTGGATGTAGAATCCTTTATAGAATTTATGAAGAAGTTATGAAACCAAACAAAACCTGAAGGTGTTTGACCTGAAGATGGTAGGATGTAAAAGGCCACTGAAAGGTGGTAATCAGCCCTTCAGAATTACTTTCATTTCCTTGGAGAACATTGTAACTGCAATCTTTAAAATGCACTATAGTTAAGCTCTTCTAGAAAAAAGTCAACATGTCTTAGTCTTCAAAGAAACTGATGAAATGTTTTATAGTTTAATGTCATTTTTAAGCTCAAAATGTGACAGCAAGTGGTTGTGGTCTGTCTGAAAATGCCGTCCTGCTTATCTACAGTAAGTGCTCTTTCAGAGTTGAAAACTCAGAGCATCACTGACAAAAACACTCATGGTTAAGAATTTAGCTGCAGGGTGACGGTCAGTCCTGTGATGAGCTGTTACACAATAGAGCTCTTTCATCGTTACCTCACTATCATTTTACAGCGATTCGGTGGTGAACCGCTGTTGCCTACGGCATGTCTTCATTTCATTTCCAGACGTAGCTTCATAA